TTGAGATATATGCTCAAAATCTCTGAAATCCGCGAATGAGCCCAAAGAAATGTGATTCATTTGTAAATCATGTTGATATTACAATCGCTCCGAATGAATCTCTCTTGTTTAGAATGCAAAATGTGGACGTTAGATTAAGTCTATTTCAGTATTGTGTAGCTGAAGCCCTCCTCTCCTCAGACAAATCGAAATAATCATCATTTCCATCATTTATCATCCAGAGAAATGCTAACTTGTACCTTTCGTAACGATTTGTTCGGCTTTAACTAATGTATTCACTTTCGGTTTGTGTGACATGATTTCAGTTCATTCATTCATTCCGATATTCGTTCGTTCGTTCGCTTGTTTGTACGTTTTGGCCTCTCTGTGTCTCAACGAAACGAACTCATTTGAATGAAATAATAATAGCAAGTGTTCAGCCATTTAGTATCGATCGATGTTTGTGTATGCCTTACATTCGGTAATAGCAGCGTATTTATTTTTATTGTCCTAACGAAAAGTAACCATCCAACATGAAATTACACTCACCATATCTCATTGTTTGATTCTTCGTTTTGTTTTCTTTTCACTCCTGAAGATATTCACTTACAAATCGAGTCATAAATAGCATCTTCAATAAATGATTTATAAAGTATCATTGAATAACAATTGATCTGAGTGACTCCTTTGCGTCGGAACCATTTTCCAAACACATCGATTGATTAATCGATTTCATACACATTTTCCCATTAAATTGTTTCCGAATAATTTTATTTTTCTTTCGCCCATTACCCAATTCAATTTCGATACCATCGTCATTTTCTTGTCGTTGTATTTCATTGAACCATTTTTTTTACCCTCATAACCGGAATGGAACAAAATGTAAAAACAAAATACAACGGAAAAAAATGACTAATGAAGAAATGGGATCCATCGTTGCAATTGTGGTTCAATTTTCCGAGAATGAAATTACACATTGGCAGAAAATACATTTAATTGGCACGAGCGCCAATATGTATACAACACTTTGTAACAGCAAATGCTTTCGATACCGCTGTCTGCTGTGTATTCTATTTTCATGTGAAATCGGAAACGCTCTGTATCGCTGTTGTTGTTGTTGTTGCTGGTACTTTTTTCCTTCTCTCTCGCGTTTAATTAAACACATCCGAACGAAAGAGCACGTATATGGCTTATATGTAATGTTTGAACCAATTTACAATCTCGTGATACGCGTTCACACCGTGTAATCAACGACACATGCTGAATTTCTATATTGGAATTTAATTCTATAAGTGATTTAATTGTGCCATGAACACACACACACACACACACACACGTAGCACACAGCACACAAACACCCATTGAAATTGAAAATGTGATGCAAATGAATAGAATAAACATGAAATGATAAAGTTCGCCAAATTCCACAAACCGTACATTTCAAAGCGCGTCGAGAAGACAGAAAAATGTGATGTTTACCAAACATTTGAAATTAAAATTGCGCGCACTTAAAATGCGTCGATAAAGTATACACGCACAAACCCGAAACGTTTCAATTTTGTATCTCTTTGGCTCATTCGTTCGGTTGGAATTGACGATTTGCCATTTTGCGAATGACAAATTTATTAGCGTCAGACGGTGAACACATAATGCATTTTCTATGCTCGTGCAAGCGACTATAATAAATTCAATATGGTTGAAGTTAAAATGAGCCATGCCAAACGGAAAGAGAAACACGCCGGTATATTGAATGCCAATATGATGGGCTCTAAATGTGTTTAAGAGTCATACAATATGTGACGTGTGCGATGTTCTTTTCGTTCGTTCAATTTTTTTTCCTCTTTTACTTTTACTCTGTCGTTTGTCCGCCCACAAATCTTTTCCTAATTAAAATAAGGTTCGTGTTTATTGAGCAAGAGGCGCGGGCGTACACACAGACACACAATTTTCATTTGTGTGATGCGAGCGCCCTAGAACACGTGCATATATATATATATATATTATGCATTCGTTTTTCGTCGTTTGGGGCACAGTGCGACAGACACATCACCCATTTGATTGATGAATTTTTCATTTGGGAATTGCATATTTATTGCCTTCACCATAATTCAAACACTTTTTAGGATAAAACAAGCTTCTCATCACACGCACCGTCTCATTCACATTCCCATCCACATTCCTCAAAAACCAAATTGAATAAAAGGAGGGAAAACAAATTATTTCGACCCTCAAAATATTCGCACGTGATTATTAAATGAAATTTTTTTCACGTTGACCATAAAAGGAAATTGAACACACGTCCATAAAATATCCAGTTTGTGTCACATATTGTGCGACATCCAAAAACGCGTTACCGCGCAAATTTTATTAAAATCCAATTTGAATTTAACTTGATGTACAATTTTAATTTAGGCTTCCGCACCAATTTCGCTTTTAGGAGCAAAATTGGAGCACGGCTGTTATACATACGTCATGACGTATAAAACGGTTTTTTCCCTGTATAAATGACGGCCGAAATGTGATTTATCAAAATTGCGGTTGACGCAAATGTTTTGCCTTTGTTTATCATATTGAACGCATTAATAAAAACATTTTAATGGCCGTTCATTCGGCCGCCTGTCCAATTTCCATGAATTTTGAATCAATCGAACGTTAGGTTAAATGTGCATTCGCTTATAAAATACATATTATATGTGTGACACGCTTCCGATGATGTATACACAAAGGATTTCAGTGCTGAAAAAAGGCGGAATCAATTTGCGCACCATTGACAGCGACAAACACTGTATGTGTACGCTTGTGTGTCCCTCGATTCCATCATCCAAATATATTAATATTGATTTTCACAATGAATGAACCTGGCCATTTGGATCGATGCGTCCATTCAAAGGCCGATTATGCTTCTCGTATCCGATACACATGTCCGTATTGACCATTCCCTACCAAACATATCATCATCATCATCATCATCATAATTGTGTAGATAAAAAGCGTTTTTTTTTCTCTGAATTGACCTTTTTAACGAGCGTAGCTGATATTTTAAAGAGGATAACGTACGATGAACGGTAAAATTGAATCTTTTGATGTTTGAGAAGGGGATCAAAATTTATTTAAGTAAAGCCGTAAGATGCTTTTCTTGCACTTTTTTTCGTTTCTTCGGAATGTGCAGTGTATTTAAAATTTAAATACCATCCTCCCCAGTTTTTGTGTAAACAACATAAGTCTATTTTTATTTGGATTTTTTTTCTGCTGCTGTGCCGAATTAGATTACACATCCGTTTTTTAGGAGCAGAAGGAATTTATTGTATTTCAAGAATGTATGCTGTACACTCAACAAAAAGTACACCAGGGACAATGAGCTGAGCTTTGCATTTGGTTCTATTCATTCTAAATTGACAACTCATTGTTCGACCCACATAGAGAGAGAGAGAGAGAGAGAGAGAGAGAGAGAGAGCCCGATAGTAGTAGTATTGTGTGCGCCCATGCAACAAATACACTGATTCAGAATCCATGTAATGAAAACCAAGAGAAAAGCTTTGAAAGTTATAGATTGTCTCGTTTTATCTCGGTAACCACAGCATGAATAGACTCTTTCTTTGATTGAATGTCGGTTTGAGTCGCCACTTGCATGCGGTTTTTGGAGACTACATTTTTTCCTTGTGTTTGCTCCCATAGCATCGTTGTGCTTACCACTTTGGTATTTTTCCGAGTCTTGTATCAAATAATGATCAGACTCGAGCACTGTTTCTTTATTCTCGGCTATTCGTTGACGTTGGTCTATATCAGGTTTCATTTATAATAACAATGTACATACCACATAATAATAATAATCTTTTATGGCAATGCAGAGAGAAAGAGAGAGAGAGCAAGCAAACGAGTTTGGATTCAAAACAACCATATACAATTTCTGAGCTACCGATATAGATAACAATTCGTTGAAAGGAGCAGTTTACCTGAACCAGTTGTTAAAATAAATCATACGGACTTTGAGCGGCGTCAATGTGCCTTTGTCTTATCATTACATTTTCATTTATATTATTCGAATTTACGTTGATGGCACATTGTACAATGGCAATCAATTGCTTCGCTTGGAACAAAAGTCGATGGAACTCCTTTCATTCACCTCAAAGCACTGTCTGTTTTGGTCGAAAAATACAATGCTCATTCATTCTATCTCGCTCTGTGTCTCGTTTTGTATATGAGTGTGTGTGTGTGTGTGTGTGTGTGTGTGTATATGAATAGGACGTTTTTCAAAACAAAAAACTTATTGAATAAATTACAGAAAGTTTTCTGTTTTCGCCGGCCGAAATCGGCTTTTATTTTCCATTTTCTCTTCATTTTCTTATTCTCCTATTCGAACAATGGCAAATCAATGGCACAACAGATACCAAAAGAAGTCTGTCTCCTTTATTAAATACGTTCAACGGTTTAAAGAGGCCGGCTAAAACAATGGATCAATAATTAATTGGGTGAGTGAATGAGTGAGTGTTCTTTGTGTGTGAGTCAAAAGACGACGGCTGCTTTTGAGTTCACAAAATTGGTCGTTAAATAAGTGAAAATGTTTTATGGAATCAGAAATCGAATGACGAATTCGAAATAAATATTGTCGATACGTCTGGCAAAAAACGACCTCTTACCATACAAATGGATTGATAATTTTGACATTGAAATTTGATGAAAAAAATTACTGTTCAAAGTGCAATTTGTCTTCGTCGCGTGCATTTTGCTCTGACATTTGCCTCATTGTCGCCACAGAGTTCAGACACAACAAAAACGATTCCGGTCGCTCGGCTTGATATTTCGATTTAACGAACGTTTTCTCGTCGATATTTTGTTCCTAATTTTTTTTTCGTTTCGTTATGAAATGTTCATCCTCTCAATCATGTGTCATGCTTTTTATTTTCCCATCAATTTTTGCTCCAACATTTACGTTTCGTTTGCGAAATGCGAAACGGAACTTTTCTTATTTCAATTCATTTTCAGCAATTAATCAGAGCAGAAAAAAGAGAATACCAACTTACCAGAGAAAATCGATTTTTGTTCCCGTCTACACTTTGGCTTCGAATGTTCAGGCTTCAGTTTTCAATCTGCAATAAGAAAAAAGGGAAGGAAAACAGATCGTTAGATCGAAAAAGTTATGGAAATTTAATTTATCTTTTCAAGTTTTTGGATTTGTTTCGATAACACACACACACACACACAAATAGGAAGAGAAAAAGAATGATCAAAGCAATTTTCAGATTCAATTTGGTATTAGTGCGACGTATAAAATTTGATTCCAAAGAAAATAGAGGGTTGTTATAGGGAAAATCGAATTTAAGCACCCCTGCCTGCCGTCGTCACCTCCATCGAAAACTGCCGCCTTCGAGTGCTCAACGCTTCTGAAAAACATCGCCGTTTGTCGTGGTAAATGTGGATGTGTTTATGTTCAGCACAGCTGTAGTTTCGATTCGGGACACATTTTCAATGTCATGGAAAATACAGCTCGTGTCGCTACCGCTCTTTCTCTCACTCACTTCTTACTTTCGATACGCTTATTACATTTTGAGTTCATTTATCGTTATTAATGCTATTATCACTCATTATCACTCATTTGTGTGGGTTTCCTGTCGTATATTTTCTCGATTGCATTGTCGACTCTTGTTCTCGTCCTCCTTTTCTCTGTCTCGCTCCCTGTGTTTATTATCCCAATTTTTCAATTACATCGAAACCATTCATCAATGTAGGTAGTTATTACAGTTACAGTTTACTGTTATTGCGTTTACTATGTGTACTGTGTGCCATTTGGGCGCCGGTGTTCAATGTTGTTCAAAGTAAGTGAATGCTTTGGCATGCTTAAGCAATCAGTTTTAATAGAAAGCAATATATGGTTTACGTTACGAAAATTTGCTCATATGTGTATGTTATATTTATCCGCTTTTCTCTCTCTCTCTCTCTCTCTCTCTCTCTCTCTCTCTCTCTCTCTCTTTCTTTCACCATCAAACTTCCACCTCGATACGGAAACTATAACGAATATTGAGTGTCTGTTCTAAGGGCGCCCTGTAACATTTATATACATAAATGTATTCCGGTAAATGTTTACTACATCAGTGTGCCAAGCGCGCTTTGTTGCTGTCTCTCTATATATTAACCGAGACATAGAGAAAAATCCACCGAGCCAAAATGCAGAAGATCGGTTCGGTTTCGTCGACGTTGTTATTTAACCGTCAAAAGCAAAACGAATTGAGAAAAAAAAGAAGCTACGAGCCATAAACGGAGCCAATACAACTAATAACAGTTGCTATTAATGTTGCCACCATATAAGTTTCCGTTGCATTGTGTCAATTTTATGGACCTGGATAAATGACGAACAACATGAATGCTATTCATTTGCCATATAAAAAAGTTGGTATCGCTTGTGAAGCAGAGCTACGAAGAGTCAGAGTCAGCCTAGGCGTGTTGCGCTTTTCATTCAGTGTGTGTGAGCGTGCCCAAGCTTTTTTTTTTATTTTGCAAATTCCAAATCTGTATCGAGAGTGCAGAAGTGAGTCGCAATGAGAACATAGTGTGGTTTTTGTGCTCGATGGCACAAATATCCTTTTGATCTAATTTTCAATCATATTATGTACCATTGTATGGTGAATTGTGTGCGAGTGTGCGATTTGTGTGTTGTATGGACCGAAAACGACACAAATACGCTCACACGCCGGTATACATTGATCAAACCGATGCTCCACTGTTGTGCATTAAGTTTGCATCAGTATATAGAGTCATCTTTCTTTCACTCTCGATTCGAAATGAATTATTACATAAAGTGTAGTTCTAGAGCGAGCGAGTGAGCATGTGTCTATGTGTATGTGTATGCCTTAGCTATCTGGCCCAAACGAATGGATGAGTATTGAACACCAAGTACAACATCACCCATATTCTCGAACCGTGTATGTATAAATAATGGTTGCTACGATGTGCCTGTCGTTCATTGTTGTTATTTTTATTGCTCTATCGCCATTTATTTTACGAGTTTTACCCTCTATCTCACTCACTGCCGCACACACAAAACTATCTCTACTCATGCACGGTTGCCTGGGCTGTGTGAGCCTCTTACGACGAACGCTCTTTCTATCGCTACCTTTCCTCTCCCTCCCTACTCTTCTTCTCTCTGTATGTGCTTCTGTGTCATATAAGTCGTGCTGGCGTATGTGTAGTATTCTCGTTATGTCACTCATGTGTGTGATAAACGCCGTGCAACGCCGTTCCAACCGTTATACAACTTATTCTGCACGAATCGGATGTGGAGTTGGATAGGTATACATTTGGTACTCTACATTTCGTAATACTATAAATTGTGCTGATTGTGCTGCTGCTGTTGCTACTACTCCGTATGCGCTTTCAGTGTTACTTCCTGCGCTTCACCGCTGCACCTCTGCTCTACTCTGGTTCGGCTCTCATATCGTTCGGGTGAAAATATCGATTTTCAACGGTGTTCAATGTAAACAGTACGGCGCGCACCAAAAATAGACTCGTCGCTATATCGGAACACAAACTGGTGTTGTATGCTTGTTTGTTGTGCGTATGTAATAATTATATGGAATGGCAATCGAAAGTGTTCAGTCTGAGGGAACATGTAATCTTGTTTTCGGTAAAAAAAAATTGTGTTTCATTTGATCGTGAATTTCTTGCTTCTGGCATTCTATTCTTTTTTCTTCTTCCCTCGCTTGAATTCTGTTTATCGTCGTCGTCATTGTTGTTGTTGTTTTGTGCCGTCGGCTTTATCGTCTGAATGGTTATTCAATGCAATTCATTTTCAGCAGCATAGGAAGAACAAATGTTTGGAAAATTCAAGCATTTTAAGTGCAAATATTTGCCGTTTTTGTTGTTCAGACAAATAACTAAATTAACGTTGCGACACTGCAAACTGTGTATTACGAAACGAGAACCGGAGTATATGGAACATGTTGGCAAAGCCATCACAAGGAATCTATTCTAATAGACCATTCAAAATGGATTTGCTCTGTTCTTTTTGAATTTTTAATTATGGCTGTTGCAGATTTAGCAGATTCACAGTAAAAGAGCAGCCGATGAAAGCGAGGCTTAGTGCGCGCATCATTGGTGAAAATGGTTCGGATTAATTTTTAATTTGCTTTAAATATATTAGTGGATAACAGAATCAAGTGTAATTCAGTTTTTCGACTCGATCGCCTGTTTGCTCGTTTGCAAGCTGATTCACTCTTTCTACGCTATCGTTGAAATGCAATTTTCTGAATTAGTGGCAATTGGATTTCGGAAGACATCAAATAGCGCTTCCGCTACGCATAGAACACATAAATTCATTATGTGTTGTGTAGCAAACATATACGTTATATGGTCGGGTTGTCAATCCACATCTGGCTTTTTTTTCTCCCTCTCTCTCTTCTCTTCTTCTGTTTTGACGTTTCCCTTAAAATATCTTTTCGCTTGAAATGAGAGCGCACATATATATATATATTTAATGGCATCAGTGTGTTGGCCCAATTTCGGCATGGATGAGCTTGTGCTAAGTGTTTAATTGATAGAATAAGCGCAATGTGAAAGCAAACTTTTTGGATTTCACCCAATTTTCGTGCCAAAGAATCAAATATTCCGGATATTTGAGACTCTTCAAAGCATTTTGGCATGGAAGGCACCTTCTCAAGTTTCAACACAAGCCTCGCACTCTCATTTGATTCCTCTTCTCTCTCTCTCTCTCTCTCTCTCTCTCTCTCTCTCTCCCTCCGTCTCTCTTCTTTATAGCACTAGAATATTTATATTTCACTACAAACACTTTTGCTATTCGCATATTGACTATAACTCAATTTCCTAAATAAATAGGCACTCGATAAATATGAAGTGAGCGATAGAAAGCTTTTATCGCCAAAACGGAACAAACGAAAAGTGAGTGAGCTGAACTTCATGTTTGAGCTTCATCAAAAATGAACAAGATTTTTGGGCCAATTTCTTTTGTGTGGGCCAAAAACCAAGCATCGGTTCCCAATTAATGGTCTTGAAATGGCTCCATTTATGTAAAATGTCAAGTGAATTACCTCTTTTTTCAAAGGGGCATTCAACATACAAGCACACACGCAAACAATCGCATAACACATTCACATACATACAGATTCAGTGGGAAAATTGGCCATTTCGTAACTTCGAACACCCTACATCCATAATTTATCGGCCATTGAATGCAATCAACGGATAAAATGGATGGCTTTAAAAATAATGATTTTACCGAACAAACGAACAGAAGAAGAAGAAAAAAAACAATCGTGAGCGCATTGGATCAACAATTTTGATTCATGGCGATTGGTCTCGTACACATAAATCCTTCCGCATTCAATATGAATGCGATTCGTGCAATATATCGTCTCAAGCGAACGGAATTGAATTTGTGAGTTGCGCTTTTTTCTGTTCCATGGATCTTCATGAGTAATGGAGGAATGTGTTTGCATACGTTCCACTCTTATGAGTATGTGTATGGAATTGGTTCAATTTTATGTGAATTCTTTGGAAACACATTAAAAACTTTTCTCCACCTATATATAATGTCGGCACGGAGAAAGGGAGAGAGCGAACGAAAGAGATAAAATAGCGAAATGCTGAACAAGTGTAAATAATTATTTGTGTGTAGTTTGTGCGCATGAAATAATTAATATCACCTGGTTGATTTATGGTAATGTAGAAATCGAGTTTTTATGCGAATTTATATTTTCCACAAATAAAATATCACCAAAATTTTATTTGTACACGAGAATCGCGCGGTTAAATACGCTCGGTTCAAATAGAGAAAAATGCTTTCCACTTCAATTCGTTCCATTTCGGATAAACATGCATAATAAATCATTTATTTCATTCCAGTACATCGAGCGCGCACCGCGTTCCTCGTACTATTTAAATTATTATGTAGTTCGTGTTTCTGAATTGGTTTCTGAAAATGACCTGTTTAATTCTTCCGATTTCTACGAAAGGTTCGATTTCAAATAAATAAATGATCAACTTGGATGATTTGTAGTGAGTTTACTGAACACTTGACATATGACGGCCTGAGAAGAAGAATCTTTCCTTCAAAACCTGTGCGCAGAACACAAACACA